ATGTCAAATGATAAGAATAAAAGATAAATAAAATGCATAATTGTAGTTAACAAAAGAACTAATAACTGAGATACTGCTGTCTAAAATAAAAGTACACAGTTGTTCGTCAAGTGACCTCTTTTTCCGAGATGAAAACAATGTATGTATGAACTGAAATGTGTTTTTTATGAAATGCTGACATAAATATATAATAAATGTATCAAGGAAACTATTAATTACAGTAAAAATAATACGACAGGTACAAACTGCAAGCAAGCAAACAAACAAACCTGAAGCCATGGCTGCTCCTGAGCCTCTGTGTGTGATGGATAGCATTGATGTTAGCTGAGGTCTTTAAAAAGAAAAACAAAATACAAACTTCAATTAGAAAAATATATGTTTCACATTCAACAAACTACTCAAGCTATTAAAAAATTCTTGAGTTGAAGAGTTGAAAAATTTCTAATGCTGGGAAATTCCAAAGGGCAAGACACGTTTAGTGTTAATCACTAATATTATCAGAGGTAAAATGAAAACTAAACTGTTAACCATTATGGACTGAAAAAGCTTTATATTAGTTATCTTTGACAATAAAGTAATATACAGTTTAACTAAAACAAAAACACAAGTTGATTAAAAATTACAGGAACTAAATATAACATTCCAGAATCACCTACTTATAAATAGATAGGTGGGGCGATAGAGGTCTTTCAAGACGCTTGTTTTTTACCCAAAAGTCCTCATTTGGTCGTAGCTTGGCAGGTGCTGTAGCCATGGGTTGAATACTGGTATAATAAAATTGTCACAGAATAAGGGAATTAGTTTTGTATTTAAAAATTATTAATTAGTAAATGTATAAAACACCTATCTCAGAAATAAATGTAAATGTCAAATACAACTAGAGCTGGAAGATTAGTGAAACATGATAATGTATTAATCATTAGGCTCATTATTCAATTATGTTCAAGAAATCAATTATTCTCACCTCAGATTTTGAAAGTTTGAATAATCAAAAACAATAATTATAATTGGAAATACTTAATTTCCATTAATCGATTTATTGATGTAAGTGATGCCTATACGTAAATTGATCATACCAATTAATAGAGTTAAACTGTCTAGCTCTACATACAATATTACAATAAAGAAATATTTGTTTTAAATACAGGACCACATACTCACTATTAAAAAGCCCATACCAAAAAAAAAAAATAATGAAATACTAAAGTTATTGCTTGATGCCTGATGTTAGCCATGATTACAGACACTAAACACCAAGTTTCAATATAATTTAATGAAGATATTTGAAAAATGGTCCTTACCATTTTAATGACAAAGTTGTCAATAATCGAGGTTTCCATAACATTTCACGAGCAGCAAACCTAAACATTTTTAAAAATTAAAAACATACCCTAATTAGTGATTGCAGTATCTGTTAACTAAAGTTATGCAAGTATAACAGTAATTCTATCCTAAATTGTGTCTTGGAAACTTGAAAGGGACATATATACAAGTAATTTAGATATGAAATTAGGTCCTTTCACAAAAACCAACACTTAGATCTGTCCTTGAAATTAAGACAGTTTAGTGAAACAATGTTTGTAACTACAGTAGTTACAGCTCTTCATAAGACCAAAATACTTTTTATATTCTATGACTGCACAAAATCTAAGTTGTGAGAAATTAATTTAATCATAGCCTATAACAAGATTGTCACAAGATACTTAAGTGATGTTATTTTCTTTAGATGAATTGTTTGAATAAAATTCTTTCACAAAATATTTCCTTTCCTCTGCATAATCCAAATATTTAATTCTACTAATAAGCCAGTTTTCTGTACATATTTTAAAACATTATCAAACATAACTAAATTTACCCATTTACAGTAATTTTTTTTCTTATAAAAGTATTCTTAAACTGATAAACACCTATGGTAAGTGTTCCATAAGGGCATACCTATGGGAGACCACATCTTGTCTCAAACAGAGTATATATATACACATATATATATAAAGTGTAGTGGTTAGGGCATGATCAGACAATACTGCATGTCTGACCTCAACTCAACAGAATAGAAATAGGGGTGACAAACACATCCTGCTGCAGCTAGGAACTGGTAAGTGGCAAGGATCTCCTGTGGTCCACTTGAATGGGGAGGGGGGGGGTAAATTTGCATTGAGGAGACCTGGAGAAATGCCTGCTGGAAAGGTGTGTTACCGGAGACAGTGAAATTAGTGACCGTGAGATCCTATTTTGAAAAGCCGGCAAGAGCCAAAGTGGGTAGTCACTTTCCTGTTGCCAGCTTTTCCATGATTATCCATGGAACAGTATGATCTGGATTGGGCTATTAAGCAATTTCAATACCATGAGGATACCTCTAGTGGTCCTACAGAACAACCCATTTCAACAGTTGGCACTGGCTCAATGCAGATTTAGGGAAATAAGCAGACTCTGGGAGGCAACACTAGCCAGCTGGTGAGATACTATAATAGGGAAAAGGGTGATGGAAAAGAAAATGTACTTACCCTTCTCAAAGGCAGTGTGTAGACTGAAGAATAGTGACTGGAGTGAGTCGAGGCAGCCAGATGAAGATAATGGGGAGATGAATGTGTAAGGATTCATTCACATGCCAGCCTGAAGGAACTCATCCAAGTGTCAGTGAAACAATCACTAAATTGAGACAAGTGATGAATTTGATGATATGTGAAAGAGCCTGCGAGCATCAATATCCAGGGAATAATAAATTAACTGAAGGAACTGGCAGACCCATCCAGTAATAATAGGAGGCCTGTGATCTCAAGGCAGTACAATGACAGGAACCCTTAAAAGGAGATGTTTGTACTAAATGACATCAAACAGCCAGAACTAGACATGGAAAACAATTCAGGTATGAATGAGCAGAAGTGAGGGAGATAGATGAGAAAGAATTATCACCTTCCCGAGTAGCCAAAATCTTAAAAAGAAAGGCCCAGTCTAAGTTAAAAAGAGTGCAGGAAGCATTGATGGCATATACATCCAAACGATGGCAACCACAAGGAGAAGGAAGTATGTCTTCAGATAAATATAGTATAAAGAACATGAAATCAATGGTCCAAACAGATCAAGAGTATGTGTAAAACCACATTAAGGTCCCAGTCAGACATGGAAGTTGGGGTGGGGAGTGGGTCAGTGAAGAAGGAAGGATCAGAACAAAGTGGAGGAAACTGGAGAAGAAAACACCTAGTGATAACAGGAAAGGCAAAATGTAGTTCACAAAGCTGCCCAATAGCCAGCTATGATGGACATCAACAATTAACTCTGTAGCAACGATGCCATTTTTATACCCTTTCTGTGTATGTTAGAGTTACATTCAAATTTAATAAAACTATTTTATGATAAATGTATTTTAATGAAATTATTATTATGAAGTATATTATATTTTAAAGTTTTATATTATCCAAGTGTTATTCCTTTATTTTAGAAAGAAACATCTAAGACAGCAATTAAAAGTGCAGTTTTTGCTGTCACATGATCTGCTCGCAGTTACAATTCTCTACTTCTAAGAGCTGTTATACAAGAAACTGAGTAGCTTAAAGAAGAGCATTATTTCAGATGGTCCACAAAACACATGTATTTGATTACTACCTGGAGCTGTTCCAAGAATTGCTTCCCACCCTAAACAGTTGTAAATTTTTTTCTTAGTTTAAGGTCATCGACGTCCACTTGCAAAGTCAAAACTGTGTTGCTATGCAACAGTTTGAAGTTAAATGGCATGTTTTTAACCAATAGAAAGAACATATTTCCCTCCATTTAGCTATATGGGCCAACAGACACTAGCCATACATGCGTTTCTAAATATCACATTGAAAGAAGCTTAGTCCATTGTCCAGAGTGAGGTACCTAGCATTTGGCTATACTTTCTTGCCTTATACATGCTAGTTTGATACACAGTTAGGTTGCATTTTAAGTTTTACTTTTATACTTCAATTATGTACTATTTGTGTTTTAAAATGCATATTAGAAAGGTTTAATGATTTTTATAAATTTAACTTGTCCTCGCCTGGATTGTGAAAGCATATAGACATTAGGCCTGAGCAAGCAACATCTTGTTTATCAATTCTGCATCTGTGCCCAGAGTCAGCAGAACCATCATCCTGCTGGTGTTCAAACCCACAATTGGTTGAACAATGGCTGTTATGTCCTCCACAGACAATGAATCTCCAGTAACCACAGGTCCCATGTTAGTGAGATTGTCACAATCACAGGACAGAGTAGAAGTTATCATCAGTTGAGAATTCATGAGGGGTAAAGGGGAAAATTTTTTTTATATTTTTTTTATTATCTTCAATAACGAAAGAAACCGGTCAAACTTAAACAAAAATTTAAAAATGCATCCGTTCAAGGCAATTATGAGGAAAAGAATGAAGTTATTTCAAGCACAAGTAATTAAGAAAATTTAAGAGGTTGTGCTGCCCTCCTACTGGTAGAGGGCTATCATCACATGGTGATATCCTCAAGCATTAAAACACTTCACTTTAAACACATGATTTTTTAGGTGGAAGTTAGCTCAAGGCTAGTGTCATGCAATTCTCATAGACAGATGCTAAAGGGAATAAGCTATTCTGTGTTTAGAGGTGAGGTATCTCAAAAACTAAGTTTATTGTTAACTCTTTCAACAATGGCTCAGTCCAAGGGACCAACCTCGACCATTTTATACTAGTTATAGTTTTAATGCTATAATTTATATTAATAAGCGTACCTTCATGAAATTATGCAGATTATCAATAAACATTACAAGGTTTTTGTAGGCATATCAGATTTCTTTATTAAGTTCAGAGTTTTTAAGTAATGTTTTTCTTGTGAATTTTTTTCTTTTTGAATATTGACTATCCAACATGCAAAGTAATTTTCATTTTAAGATTAAAAATACTTTTATGCATCACAAAAATTTCAAGTTTCACATGCAAAATCCTTATAACCTCCAGATAATTATCAAATGCTTCTTGAGAAAAAAACTTCATATTCTATCTGTTATTTTCACTATCAAATATCTGTGCAGGTTTGGTTGATCAAAACCAACCTCATAACCACCATAGAAAATTAGGAAATAAATAAATAAAAATTATGCTTTTTCCGTTCAAGAATGACTGCAAATTATAACACGAAAACATGAATGTTTAGTCTAAATAGATTAAATCTCATAAAATTATACATTATATATATATATACACACACACACACACACACACACACACACACACACAC